TCATCAAAACAACGTGAGGCAATTACTCAGAGTATTCAGATTTTATAGACAGTTAAACTGAGGCTCACAGAGATTAACTAACTTGCCTCTTAATATAAAACTTGCAGACAAAAAGGATGGAATTAGAACCCAGCCAGTCTAGTTCCAGAATATGTGCTCTTAATTATTATATTTCTATGCAAGAAAAAATAAAGGGATGAGTATTATTACATTCACAGATATATAAATTGTGATAGAAAGTAATATGAAAATTTATCAATTTCAAATATACATAATGAAAGGTCAAAAACTTCTTGAAGGGAGTGTAAATAAATATTTATCTTACAACACTGAATAAATTTAATTCATTAATTCCAGTGTTCAATTTTTTTTTTAGTCCCCAAATAATTCCAATTAGTCTTCTACCAAATAGTCTCAACAAGTACATTTTGAGTAACTGACACAGGTCAGTAATATAATTTTATATCGAGTTATTGATTAATCCAAAGAATTATAGCACTGAACAAGTGCACTAAAATCTTCTTACGTTAATTACCTTAAGAAAAAGTAGGAACTTTAGGTTCTTCATTTTTAACCTGATTTCACAAATAGGAGAGCTGTCACTGAACCTAGCTTTATTCTTATTTGGTAACAAAAAGAACGAAAGACAAAACCCAGCTGTATGGAGAGGGATGAACTTGGACTATTGCTCTCCTTGGATTTCTCAAGGGGATAGTAGGAGAAAGGTCACCTTTCTGGCATATGCTCATCTGTAGTGGTTTCATGAATAATTGTAGATATGAATGAACCTGCCCAGGCAACTCTGAACAGAGAAAGGCATAGTCAAGGTGGGACATGTAGGAGAAGCTAAAGAATCTTAAAACAATTGAGCCTCCTGGTCTGCTTGTCATAGCTTTGCACCCTTATGAGCACCCTAACTGGCCAGCATGTTTGAGATGTCAGGTTCAACCTGCAATCTGGTAGTAGATAAAAATCTTGATGAATCATGCATACTTCCCCTGTGGTTGACCAGTTATAAACTGCTATGGTGGAGAATTATGGGCTATATTCAGGAGAAAACCTTTACTCAAGAAGGCATGGTACCACCATCCTTCCATGAGCAAACGAAATAATGCATCTTTATTTTTTAAGCAAGCAACAAGAGAAAAGCAAAACATTGTTCTAACATAAGAATGTAAAATTCTATAAAATATACTTTTTATTTCTGAAATGTCTCATGATCAATTATTACCAAATTTATTTGCAATACAAAAGTACCCAATGCAAACTCTGACTTTTTAGGTACATGCAGACAATCCTGACAAAGGTGAATAAAGCATAAATCAGTTAAATAAACATACTGCAAGAAAAATTTAGGAAATAGTTATACTCAATTCATATTTGTCATAAAAGACCCCTTTGAAATCTAAAATGCCTCTGCTTTCTTTAATCAGGAACAACAAAATCATTCTTTGCTATATCAAGACTTTTTCTGCCACAAAAGAGTAATCATCTTATGCTTTGATATATGCATCATTTAGAGTCTTATATGTTTTTACTTTACCACTAAATTGGCTGGAAATTTTTTTCCTCACTGGAAATGTATGCCATTGTATAGAAATTAATAGGAAATATGTTGTTCATATAAGTAACATATGACAAATTACTCAGAGTTGACGATGTGAGAGGCATTACTATCATGAATTATACTCTATCTCAAATTTCATAACAAAAATGCTTACAGCATACCAAAAAACTCCACAGGTTCATGAAAATCCCTATGTGAGATAACTATTTTGGGAACAAAATGATTTTTAAGACAGTAGATATTAAATCATAATTCTTTCTTAATAATTTAGCTGCTTATGACCAATGAACACCTCTGATTCAGACTGCTGTCCAATGACAACAGCTTTTGACTTTTAGTTAATATTAGCAATGTTTTCTTGCATCATGCTAATTATCACATACTGAAAGACCAACTGTTAAAAAAGGGATCCAATGATAGACAAACATCTTTCCCTGAATGAGTATATACCGAAAACTTCAAAAGTATTCCACTTGAAATAAAAATAGAGCAATGTATTGAATCTCTGCCATAGTACTACTCCTGGTGGTGTCTGATTCTTTCTTAGCTGTAAGGGATGTTCCTTTTTGCTTCTTAAAAAACAAGCTAAACAAATAAAACCAAATGCGCCCACTTTCTATAGCAGGATTTTATCACCATATTAAAAATATCTCTCACTTTGATAATTGACAATCCCAAATATTTATACTCTTAAAAAATCAGACAGGAAAGAGTTAACATGAATATCTGTAGCCAACCACCTTCCTCAAATTCCCCATTTTCCTGGGAAAAATATACAGTTTTAAACCTTAAAGTATAGAGATACAAAGAATTGGGGTATCACAAATTGTAAAGTTTAGTGATGAATAAATCAATGCAAATTTAGTCAGCATAAAAAGCATCCCTCTGAAGCTTTGCTCCAACTATTAACTTTCTGTGCTTACTGAAAAAAAATTTATGATCATATGAGCTTCATGTATGATTGATATCATTAGTTTATTTTAAGGCTGTCCTTGAGAATCAATCAAATAAAACATTCCCAGTGTGTATGTTTTGCAACCAGAATGAGGAACACAATATAAGTGTCTCTTCTGGAGACGAAGTGATGGACTATTCTTCCCCTTAGTGTTTCCTATCAAAAAGAAACATCAAGTAGAAGCAAATCAGGCAGAAATTTATGTCAGAAAATATCCTGCCATTCTGTGTTCTTCACAATATTTTCATTTCACTAGCAGCTACTCTTACAATCTAAAAATAATAATAAGGGTATCATCACACAAAAAGACGCTTATAAATCCAACCAAAATGAGCTCAAGAGCTTAAAAATACTATTTGAGGATAACACAAACTATGGCATATAATCTGCTGTAAACCATTAAAAATTCCCATTTTATTAAGTAAGGTTTTAAAGGTCTGAGATGGCACATGATTCTTGTCTGTCATACGCAAATCTGTGCAATAAAAATGAATAGTATAACTTAAATACTCTACAAATGGGAGAATAACTGTTTTCTCCATAATCCATTTTTCCTCACACATCTTAATGAAGAGAAGGGGGTCATTGGAATTCAAAATTAAGTAAGTTTTTTTGGTACAATCATAGCTTTTTATTGCATAATAATACTGAACCAACTAAGAGATTCCAATATAAATAAAAACAATCTAACTTTAGTCTCACAAAAACTCTAACGATCATCAAAACTCATGCTAGACTAATTTCTGAAAGCAAATCTAAGACTTTCCTAAAGCAGGCAGCCATCAATCCAGACTGCCCTTCCCTTCCCTTGGTGAAAAAGACACAACCTTGCACTTAACTTTTTACCACCTCCCCCACACTCCACCTCACTACCATCACCACCAATCTGAGGCAATAGGCCCTTCTGTTTATAACATTATAAATAACAGCTTGCCACTTTAATTCCTCCAGCCTATGAACTAATCCTTCATTTCAACATTAAATTATCTCTTGATTTAAATGTTAGGTACAAAAATCCATCCGTGGCATGTAATTCCAAAAGTTCAAATTTGCAATCGAAAAAAGTCTGGACTTTCAGGACCCTTTCTCTTTTTATCCAGAAAAAGAAAGTTGTATTTTTCAGAGGGTTAATTAAGCCTTTTTAGTTTTCAAACTGGGGCTTTTCTGTAATTTATTCATGCTTCACATCTGTAAAGGTCTTTAACTCCTTTGATAATAGCTCTTCCTTTTTCAAATGCTTTTTCTTGTACCATCACTTACTACGTGAAGTCCTAAGAACAGTTTCTATAAACACAGTTACATTCAGAATATGCCTTTACACATGGCATTTATTATGCATATTCGGTATATAAATTGGTTACATGAAGCATGCTCAAATACTGTGCAACAGGTCCTGCTATTGTGTAAACACACACTCCCAACAAAATGACAATAAGCTTTATAATATCAACAATATAAGAAAAAAATCACATTATTGCTTAAAGAATTATTCATAATTCGTTGGAGAGATCAGAGGACATCAGATCTAATCAAAAGAAGTAAATGTTACTAAGACCCTCTTACTGTCTTTGTATCCCACCGTATATGTGATAAAGTTGTGTTACAGCTTAGGTGTATACACGCTTTCATTGATTTATTGCCCATTACTGGCTTCAGTGCTGACTTCATGACAGGAAGAGTACTTTGGCAGAGGTCTGACAAATCCCTATCCTTAAGTTCCCTTTTGCTTTGTGCCGTCTGTTCCCAAAGCTATCAAAGTAAAGCAAATGATAGTCTAAAACCTCCTCGTTTTGCCACGAGAGTGTGAAATCAAATTAAAAACACACCTCAGAACTATTACATTGGGCCACGTTTATTTTCAGTTGGCGGGGGAGGGGGATAGAACACTTAAAAAGAGATGGATTTCATGTCCTCTGTGTAGCCAGATCTAGTTACAGTGTATTAAGTTATGTCTAAATGAGAAAAAGATTCTCAAGTGTTTTATCACAAAGTAATGTTATTAAACACATCTAGCGTTCCCACGCTTTCCTCCAGATTCTTTGCTTTTAACCTCCTTTGTTAGGCACCAAATACTGGAAGAAAGATTTCAGGAACAACACCTAGGCAGCACATGATGCCAGGCAATTAATTCTGTCTTCCCTGAGCTGTTTATCTATCATAAACTCAAGCTGCCTTATTTAGCTACACGGTTGCTATATGTAGGGCTTCTCCTCCCTGGGTGAAAAGCATGGACCGGCTACAATTGTGTCTTTGAGCGCGCAGCATCGTGCTGTGTGCTGCCGGGGATAACGGATTCTGGGTCTCACACGCATCCGTCACCTAAGACATCCTTAAACTGAACCAGGATCTCCGCAGCTGGAAGGGAAACAGTGTGTTGGGACCCAGGCAGCTCTGAGCTACAGGGATCCGAGGAGTGAAGGAAATGTTTCAGGGAGCAGCCCAGGCAAGGGGGGAGGAAGAAAACCCTCGCACTCTTACCTCCACATTGAAATACTGCTCCGTTCCGCAGACTGTAGCACATAAAATCCAAAGCAAGGATTGCAAGAAAAACACCCCCGAATGATGCACGAAATCCAACCGTCTTCCAGTGCTGAATGTGAGTAAGATCATAGTGAACTGTGCTTCAATGGATGGACGAGCTCCCCTTCGTTTTCTCCCTTTCTCCCTCTCCCTCCCTCCCTCGTTTCCTTCCAAAAAAAAGTCCTCGGGGTGGGTAAGGAGCCTGCAGGTTCACCCACAGCCGGGCAAGGGGAGGAGACGGGGGCCCCGCGCTTGACAGCCCCCGAGAAGCAGCGGCGAAGACGGGGTCAGCAGTAGTTCGCGTTCACCATCCTCCGGGGTCAGTCGCCGGGAACGTGGCGGCCAAGTTCACCGGCGGTTCCGGCTCAAAGCGCCGAGTCGCAGCCGCAGCAGCAGCAGCCGCCGCCGCCGCCGCCGCCTCCAGCCCGTGCGTCCTCCTCCTCCGCCGCCCACTCCTCCGCCGCCGCCGCCCCCAGCTCCTGCGGGAAGGGCCTCCGCCGCTCCTCGCTCTCTCGCCTCTGCTTCTCCTTCCCTCCTCTTCTCGCTCCCCTCCAGAATGTTCATCCGTAATCTACATAACTCCTCCTTCCCGGGGTCTGCCAGGCTCTCGGCGCCTGTGGCGCGCGCGCGCGCGCGCGCGGACACACACACACACTCACACTCACACATACCGCGACACACACACACACCCACGAGCTTACACACAGCCTGACACACACGCACGCGCGCCTCTTAAAGGAGACGGTTCCTAGGTAGGGCGCACCGGAGGTATCCAGACCGCGACCGGGACCCAGGTTTGAGCAGGGCTCTTCGACAGTATCACCCACCCCGCATCCCCGAGGCAGGCACCCAGGAACGTGGGCTGCTCCATTCTTTCTTCTCGCCCACCCCACCGCCTGGCATCGAAAGACGAATGCACCCCTCCCCAGCCGTGAGCTGGGTGGGGCTCAGGCTGCGCACCCTGCTGGGGCCTGGGGAGGGGCCCAAGCCTGGTCCTGGAGAGCGGTTGGCATTCTCGAGGAAGCGGCCCTGGAAGATTGGGGGCGCTGGGAATCAGAGGAGCGCCTGGTCACTGAGTGCTGCTGGGTGGCTCAGGTCGCTGGCCAGCGCTGACCAAGTTTGGGAAGCCTAAGATGGCAAATCCCGAACGTCCAAAACTTTGTTGGGGTCCGCTGAGCCTGTGTCCCGGTGTCTTCCTGAATCCCCTCTACCATCACTACATTCTGCCTTCCAGGCTTCAGGAGTAGGCACAGGGTTTTGGTGGGGGACTAGACAAATACAGACGCGGAATGAAAATGCTCACTTTGCAAATGAACGGTGGACACACGTACACACTGGGACCCAGGAGAGGTGGTCCTGGGTGTTAAAACATCTGAAGAGAGAGATGGGGACGCTGGAAAGAAACCGGCTGTGGGAGCCAGGGGAAGGGCTGGGGAAAGAAGGAGAGGAGCAGCCTGAGGAAAGGCGAGTAAAGCAGCTGGCAAGGGTGGGAGGAAGAGGCTGCGCGCAGACCGAGCGGGGGAGAGGCTGGCAGGAGCGAGGAGAGCTGCAGGCGAGAGGGGGAGGCTGCTGGAAGGAAGCACCGGCGAACGCGGGCAGGGGAACTTCAGAGGAGGCTGCCAAAAAGGACTGGAGCTGCAGCAGTGAGAGGCAGTGGACAAGGCGGGCAGCAACCACCAGCCCTTGGCAGGTGATGGTTTGGCTGAAAGAGAAAGGGGGAAGGGAGTGAGGCGAGCATCTGTTTGGGGGCAATGCCAGTAAATGTGCTTCTCCTTGGCAGCCAGCAGAGGGGAAGAGGAGCCCACGGGAAAGAAAAGCAGGCGAGGTTAAGAATAAAGAGTGTTCCAGGTATGACAGCTACCTCGGTGAGGTGGAAAAGAGAATTGACAAGGCAGATTTCATGGGTGAGTTGGAAAAGCAAAAGCAGGACTGCAAGAGGTCATATGTGGTAAGCAGATGGAAAATGCTGAAAAATGGTTTGCCAAAAATTGTATTACACTGTAATAACTTTTATCCTATAAAAGAAAAAAAAGACTGAGGAATGAGACTTGGCAGCTATTGCTGTAAAAATGTAAGAAATGCCCACCCAACTTGACCCAAGACCCTCAGGGAGACCTTCCTGACAGTTTGCCTTGTGTCCAGCGTGTGCTGCCCATAAAATAATTTTGAAGATGTTATAAAAAAAACCAATGTCTTATATTGTATAGCATATTAGAATATTCAGAATGTTTCCATACATAGTATCTCATTTAATTCTCACGCCATCTCTGAGGATTTTGTTTGTATTTTACAAATGAAGAAAATGATAGCAATAAAATACACCGTTTCAGCAAACCATACAAGCCGCAGAATTCAGACCTGTCTCCTGACTCCCAGTTCAGTGATTTTCCTGCTATATTCCAGTGACTTTCCAAATAGAAATTCATTCCTGCCCTTAGCATTTTATAATCCATAGGTTGAGATGACTTATATAAAAGAAACAGCTAGAAGGCAATATGAAAGGAATGTCATTATGTAGAATTTATATGGTGTTCTCTGCCAATATAAGGTAACAAAATGTAGCGAAGTATTTGTCAATAAATCAAGACTGATTTTTATGTGTGCATTATATCGAGTAAAGTGCAAAATTAGAGAGGGGAAATTATACAAAAAATGTTTAAAGTCAGTTCCTAGACTTTCAGATACTATTGAAGGGGAGGAGGTAAAAATAATTTACCCAAGATACACGTGAGAAAACAGTGCTAAATGGTGAAGTCCTTGCTATCTGAGCAAAATATTAGAAGACTTTATCAAGGGAATGAAATGCAAGCTGAGCACTGAAAAGCTATCAGCAAGGAATATTTCACCATTAGCAATTTTCTTTTTCTTTGCATGAGCTCAGAAAAGAAAGATAGTGTATTTGTGGAGGACAGGTGTGGAGAGGGACCTACAATGAAATATTGAGTTAACATTTTCTCAAATAGACAAACAAGGATTGCTAAACTATTCTAGATAGGAATAGGTATCTAGGGAATATTATCTTCAAAATTATGCATGAGATTGACCATAGGAAGGGACTCCATGCAAAGAGGTAACAATTAAAATAAGGTTTTAGGCTGGGCATGGTGTGTCACGCCTGTAATCCCAGTACTTTGGGAGGCGGAGGTGGGTAGAACACTTGAGATCAGGAATTGGGACCAGTCTGACCAACATAATGAAATCATATCTTTACTTAAAATACAAAAATTAGCTGGGTGTTAGTGGTGGGCACCTGTAATCCCAGCACCTCAGGAGGCTGAGGGAGGAGAATCACTTGAACCTAGGAGGCAGAGGTTGCAGTGGGCCAAGGTCACGCCATTGCACTCTAGCCTGGGCGACAAGAGTGAAACTTCATCTCTAAATAAATAGATTAATTAATTAATAAATAAGGTTTTAGTCCAGCTTGTGAGGTATCCTAGAAAATCTATGCTTTCACGGAGTGATCATAAGGTTAAAAAAAAAGAAAAAAAAAACTGTTGAAAGTAGCAAATCCTAAATTCAGAAAATAATATCAAATTAGTGATTGGTTAACATGATAGGAATTTTAAATTATTTATAAACAGTTATTAAACTTGTGAGCATTCAATGAAAAATAAGTGAATGAATGACTGTTCAAAGTTATAGAAATTCTATGAATATTCAAGGTTATAGAAATACTAACAGAAAGAAAATACTGTTTTATTTCTGAGATGAGAGTCAGAAGGATTCATAGTACAGCGAGGACAGACATACAATAATTATTGCAATGTCGTAAGACCCAGGAAATCACAAAAGCAAGATGCTGTCAAACAGGTGGAAGAAATAGTTGATTTTGTGTTTAAAAAATTTTTTTTTTGAGAAAGGATCATAAAATACGTGGTTCTCAAGTGGAATCTCATAATGAGAAATGTACTAGGCAGATAGGAAAAGGAAGAATATTTCTGATCTGTGTGCAATGGAGGAATAAATACACAAAGAGGCATCTGTGGAACTACAAATAGTTTGTCAGGGCTAGAGGCTATGGTGTGTAAAGCAAGGTCAGAGTCATAGGTGGCATGAGTAAGTATGCATGCATCAGATGAGGAAGCGTCTTAGGTGCCACATTTCAGGCTGTAGACTTTCTCTTGAAGGAATACCTAGGAGGAAATAGTTGGATTTTCACAACCTTTATTGTTTGTTTGCTAATTCCATGGAAACAGTCACCTTCTAGTTCTCATATATTTTATCTCATGTGTTCCACTGAGCATGTAATATCTACTGTCTTTGCAGACCTTCTATCTGTGCTTGTCTAATAAGCCTGATGCAGCATTTCACATATAGACTCAGATGGTTACCTGTAGAAATGTAATCGCTTTCTTGGTCAGGCGAGTTCATTATTCCGTCTTTAATCTATTATATATACTTATCTTTTAAGGGCCTAGAATCATGAAGAAGTTCCTATTCTCGCATATTTAGTAGTGTGAGCTTCTTGGTGGTCTTAGAGAGGGTGTAGTTTTCCTATGCACAATAAGATAAAACATGGAATATCATCTTTCCCTTTAGGGTGTGAATGAAATCTTTCCTCACAACTCTTGGCAATTGCTGTTTGTGCTTTCTGTCAAGTATTTTCCCTCTTCTCACAATTTCACAAAACTAATGAACAATCTTAGAATTACAAGTGAGTAAAGAAATGAGAACCAAAAGAGAGGAAAATGAATAAGAAAGCCAAAGAGAAGAAGTAATTGCCTCAGTAAAGGTTAATACCAATTCAATGAAATATTGCACAGGAGACAATAAGTACGTGGAAGTAAATTATATGTAAACCTATCAAGAGGCAAATGACATATACTTAAAAATGAACAGTTGAGCGATATTCTATTATGCGTAAATAACTACCTAAAATAACATTAGAGGTAAATCATTTACTATAGCCTTTATCGAACCATTTTTGTTTTTTTTTGTTGTTGTTGTTGGTGGTGGGTTTTTTTAGTAAAATAGAGCCTTTGAAATTAATTTTATAGCTTGGGAAGTTATATAAACTTGTTCATTCTTCCAACTTATCACTTAATATGCTTTCTTTCTTACTTGCATTAGTTGAACCTGCAGGGTTTTTTTAAATTCAGAGAATATTGACTTAGTGCCAGCTACTGATATTCTCTCACGTATCTGTTATTACCAGGGTCATGCATATGTGGAACAACCAGCTAGAGCCTTATTATTTAAGGTGTGCTCCCTCTGGGACCTTTGAGGCCTGGGAGCTTGTTAGAATGCAGAATCTCTGGCTGTATCAAGATACCCCAGTGATCCATAGGCATGGTAAAATTGAGAAGCACTGTTTTAGAGTTTGCATACAGAATAGCTTAGTTGCACTGTGTCCACCACCTTAATGTTATTAGTGTCATGCCCTAAGTAAAGAGAGCTAAACAGTTCCAATCAGAGTTATG